CAGGTGAGCTAAAAATTAACAAAATCTTCTAGTAATTGACAAATGCTAGAGGTAAGATATTTTGCATGAAACATTGTGTAGTGAACCTCTAGCAAGATTGTTCAACTTATAGCCCTGGGGTCAAAATTCCCCCCGCCCCGTGGGTCATTGATTTTCAATATTTATACATATAGTAAAATATCAAAAAATCTTATTGTCTGAAGGTACAAGGCTTAGAGCTTTAATATTTGTTAAATGATATCATCTATAGGTACTCTACCAAAGTTGTTCAAATGTTGCCTCTAGTGTCAAAATTAGCCCCATCCCGGGGGCCATAGGTTTTCCTTATATGTATATAGTAAAAACTTAAAAAATCATCTTCTCTAAATTGATAAAGGCTTGAGTTAAGATATTTTGCATGAAACATTGTGTAGTGAACCTCTAGCAAGATTGTTCAAATTATAGCCCTGGGGTCAAAATCCCCCCCGCCCCGTGGGTCATTGATTTTCAATATTTACATATAGTAAAAAATCAAAAAATCTTATTGTCTGAAGGTACAAGGCTTACAGCTTTAATATTTGTTAAATGATATCATCTTTAGGTACTCAACGAAAGTTGTTCAAATTTTGCCTCTAGTGTCAAAATTAACCCCACCCCGGGGGCCATAGGTTTTCCTTATATGTACATAGTAAAAACTTAAACAAGAGGGCCATGATGGCCCTAGATCGCTCACCTGAATTATCAAACTCATCCAAACAATTACCTAGACAAGCATTCTGACCAAGTCTCATGACAGGTGAGTCAAAAATGTGACCACTACAGTGTTAACAAGGATTATCCATATTTGAGCAGTGCGACCTAGTTTTTTACCCAGGTGACACATATTCAAACTTGACCTAGAAATCATCAAAACAACTTTCAGACAATTTCCAGGATACTTGGATCAAAAACAGTAGCAACTAGAGTGTTAACAAGATTTTTCTATTTTTAGCTCCGGTGACCTAGTTTCACATGCGATTTCGAACTCATCCAAGCAATTACCTAGACAAGCATTCTGACCAAGTTTGATGATAATGGAGTCGAAAATGTGACCACATAGAATGTTAACAAGGTTTTTTCCATATTTGGGCGGTGTGACCTAGTTTTTTCATCCAAGATGAACCCATGTTCGATCTTGACTTAGAAAATCATCAAAACAAACTTTCAGACCAATTAACAGAATTTTTGGATCACAACAGTAGCCACTAGAGTGTTAACAATATTTTTCTATTTTTAGCTCCTGTGACCTAGTTTTTCATAATCCGAGATGTCCCATGTTTTTTTTCGATTTTTATTCCCAGCAATGACCTAAGACAAGTTTCCTGACCAAGTTTGATGACAATTGAGTCAAAATTGTGACCACTAGAGTTGTTAACAAGGTTTTCTATTTTTAGCTCCTGTGACCTAGTTTTTCATCCGAGATGACCCATGTTTCGAACTCATCCGAGTTATTACCTAGACAAGCATCTTGAAATCAAGTTTGATGATGATTGATGCAAAAATGTGACCGCTAAAGTGGTTAACAAGGTTTTTTTCTACTTTTTAGCTCCGGTGACCTACATTTTTTCATCCGAGATGACCCATGTTCGAACTCATCCAAGCTATCAACTAGATAAGCATCCTGACCAAGTTTGATGATGATTGATGCCAAAAATGTGACCGCTAGAGTGTTAACAAGGTTTTTCTATTTATAGCTCCCGGTGACCTAGTTTTTCATCCGAGATGACCCATATTCGAACTCATCCGAGCATTATTATCTAAACAAGCATCCTGACAAAGTTTGATGATGATTGGGTCAAAAATGTGACCACTACTAGAGTGGTCACAAGGTTAATTTTTTTCTTTTTTTTTAGCTCCTGTGACCTAGTTTTTCATCAGAGATGACCCATGTTTCGAACTCATCCAAGCAATTGACTAGACAAGCATTCTGACCAAGTTTGATGATGATTGGTTCAAAAAAATAGTGACCACTAGAGTGTTCACAAGGTTTTTCTATTTATAGCTCCTGTGACCTACTTTTTCATCCGAGATGACCATGTTCGAACTCATCCGAGCTATCACCTAGACAAAAATGTGACCTCTAGAGTGTTCAAACATCTTCTGAGTTTTTTCCTGAGATGACCCAGAACTTCATCCGAGCTTTCCAACATTAGATGCATCCTGACCTAAGAAGATTGGGCAAAAAATCAAAAATTGACCTCAATTAGATCGCTAAATTAGCTCACGCTGAGCAAGCTCAGGTGATGACTAAAAATCATCTTCTCTAAATTGACAAAGGCTAGAGTTAAGATATTTTGCATGAAACATTGTGTAGAGAACCTCTAGCAGATTGTACAAATTATAGCCCTGGGGTCAAAATTGGCCCCACCCCTAAGGGTCATTGATTTTCATTATGAACATATAGTAAAAAATTTAAAAAAACTTCTTGTCTGAAGGTACAAGGCTTAGAGCTTTGATATTTGGTATATAATATCATCTATGGGTCCTCTACTAAAGTTGTTTTAATTATGCCCCTAGTGTTGAAATTGCCCTACCCCAGAGGCGCTAGTTTTCCTTATATGTATAAAGTAAAAACTTGAAAAATCTTCTTCTCTGAATTGACAAAGGCTAGAGTTTAAATATATGGCATGAGACTTTGCGAAGTGAACCTCTACCAAGATTGTTCAAATTATAGCCCTGGGGTCAAAATTGGTTCCGCCCCGGGGGTCATTGATTTTCATTATGTACATAAAGTAAAAAAATAAAAAATATTTTTGTCTGAAGGTACAAGGCATGGAGCTTTGATGTTTGCTATATAATATCATCTATAGGTCCTCTACCAAAGTTATTCAAATTTTTCCCCCGGTGTCAAAACTGACCCTGCCAGGGGGCATGATTCTAATTATGTACACATAGAAAAAAAACAGAAAATAAAACAAATGTTTTCTGAATGGGAGAAAGCTTCAGCTTAGATATTTGACTTGAAATGTTGTTTGGTTGACCTGTATCAAGATTGATTTGAATTAAACCCTTGGGTCAAAATTTTGCCTTGCCCAAGGGGACAGTGACCTACTTTCTTGTCCTTTGATGTACAGCAATGAAATTTTGACCATGTGCACAGTTTTAGTTGTAAAATTGAACTTTGATATCAGGTGACCTAGATTTTGATGATGTGACCTACTTTCTTGTGCTTTGATCTACAGCTATGAAATTTGAACCATGTGCACAGATTAAGATGTAAAGTGAACTTTGATATCAGCTGACCTAGATTTTGACAAAGTGTCTTACTGTGTTGTCGTTTGATGTAGTCATGAAATTTAAACTGTGTGAAATATGACCTTCACCACCAAATTCACTAGACTCAAGTGCATTGATATATTCCTACTCTGATCTTTTATTTGATTAACAATAGATTTAACCACTAATCTGATAATAAGAATTAGATAGGTAAGGGATCTATGCATTATGACAATCTTCAATTGTATAGAAACAAAAAAAATCGGTTCCTACACTACTATTTAGTGTTGTATTAATGCGGTGGCATTGCATTTTTCTCAAATGCAATCTTGTTTTGTTTTTACTATATAAATATAAGGAAAATCAATGACACCTGAGGCCAGGCCAATTTTGATCCTAGGGCATTCATTTAGACTAACTTGGTAGACATCCACTAGAAGATGTTTCATGCCAAATATCTAATCTATAGTGCTTTTGGATATTTATATATATATATAAGGAAAATCAATGACCTCCTGGGGAGGAGTCAATTTTGACCCAAGGGGTTTTATTTGAACAAACTTGGTAGACATCTTTCAGCAGATATTTCATGCCAAATATCTAAGCTCTACCTTTTTTGGATTTTCATTCCATTTTTCAATTTTGACTCTAGGGCTTTTATTTGAACAAACTTGGTAGAAATCTACTAGAAAAATATCTAAGCTCTAGCTCTTTCGTATCTTTACAAAAAGATTTTTTAAGATTTTTGTAAAAAAAATTTCCATTGCCACGGCAACCCAGTTCTTTCTGGAATTAAATTCTTTGAACATATTTGGTAGAGCTTCATGCAAGAAACATCCCTGCAAAGTTTCAACAAATTTGGCCAAGTGGTATAGGAGGAGAAGTTGTTTCAATTAATTGGTGATGCACGGACAATGGATGACGGACAATGGGCCATCACAAAACCCCACCTTGAGGACAGGTGAGCTAAAAATGTACAAAGGCCAATAACTCCAAAATTAGGCAAGGCAAAGTTACTGTTCTTGTGTAATGCACATCTACCCAATGAGAGCTATCTACCTACAAAGTTTCATGTTGTTTCAGAGTTATGTCCCAGTGTTTCAGAGTTATGACCCAGACAAGAAAAGCAGATGGACGGAGGTGCGGCTGAAATGGAATAAGGGGCATATTTCTTTTGTTATTTTCTTTTGTTTAATAGGGGGCCATTGGCCCCTTTCTCAATTGTTACGGAATTACTACAGGATAGGACTCCTATTCCTATTCTGTCGTGCGGACAGCCAGACAAAGCGGAGACTGTATGCCAACCCTTCAGGGAGCATAAACAAGAGCTGTCACAGGAGACAGCGAAGCTCGACTAATAAAATACTGGACGCAGTAAGGAGGACAAAACTATGAAAGAAAAATCAATTATGTATAATTACGTATTAAGTTATAGTAAAAAAATAACATTTGTTAACATAAATTCCAAGATCAAGGGGAATAATTATAGAAATAGTCATGCTAGAGTTATGGATCTTGCCACACAACATTTGTGTAATGATAAGAAATATATATTTGAAGTTTGAAGTAGATACCTTAAAAAGTAAAGAAGTTATTATATTTCTTAAAGAAAATCCTAAGTTCAAAGAGAGATAAATCTGTAAATATTGCTTCAAGAGTTATGAACATTGTCACATAAAATGTAATTAATGATTAGGTATAAGTATTTGAAGTTTGAGGTAGATACCTTTAAAAATAAAAAAATTAAAATAAAAAATAAAATTTTTCTAGTAAATAAATCTTAGTTTATGGGGAGATAATTCTTGCAATATTGGTGCTAGAGTTATGAACCTTGTCACATAAGATGTGGATGATGATTACGTAAATATATTTGAAGTATGAAGTTGATCCCTTTAGAAATAAATAAGTTAGAGTAAAAAATAATATTTTTTATGGAAAATTCTAAGTTCAAAGGGAGATAAATCTGAAAATATTGGTGCTAGAGTTATGAACCTTGTCAAATAAGATGGGAATGATGATAACCTAAATATATTTGAAGTATGAGGTCGATCCCTTAAGAAACAAAGAAGAAACAGTAAGAAATAGTATTTTTTGAGGAAAATTCTAAGTTCAAGGGGAGATAAATCTGAAAATATTGGTGCTAGAGTTATGAACCTTGTCACATAAGATGGGGATGATGATAAGGTACATATATTTGAAGTATGAGGTTGATCCCTTAAGAAATAAAGAAGTATCAGTAAAAAAATAGTATTTTTTAAGGAAAATTCTAAGTTCAAGGGGAGATAAATCTGAAAATATTGGTGCTAGAGTTATGAACCTTGTCACATAAGATGTGGTTGATGATAAGGAACATATATTTGAAGTTTGAAGTTGATACCTTAAGAAATGACAAAGTTATAGTGAAAAATATTTTACTGCACCAAAACTTTAATCTAAAATCTGGACGCGGACGCGGACGCCGGGGCGAGTAGGACAGCTCTCCATATACTTCGTATAGTCGAGCTAAAAATATGTTGTAGAGAAAATTAATATTAATACTGCAATTAAGGTATTACCATCCTAATGCATTACCTCCGCTTTGAAGAGTATTCAAATAGGCTAGAACTACTGTTAACTACATTGAAAATAAGGGCCTGGGTTCAATCCCCAGAAGGGTCAACTTTTTTTTTCTTTCTTTTAACATTATTTATGTATCTCTCATGTCCCATTTGGAAAGAAAAAAGTGTTTAATTTTGATTTTTTAATTTATATAGGTATTTATTGGCTAAATTATGCTAAATCTAGTAATAAATATGGTACCTGATATTTTCAAAGTGTAATAAAATCAAAACTAGACGGTAAAAGTATTTCATATTTTACAAGATCAACCAATATACTTCTTTAAAAATTTAGGGAAATTTTGAAAACAGGCACTCATTTGGGTAAATTTTAAGGATTTTTTAAATTAGGTTCCCTAAGTAGGAAAATGGTCAGACATGTGGTAAAAATGGGTGGGGTAGGGTAACATTTTTATACAGATTTCATAAATTTTAAGTAGAAACCATAATTTTGCTTATGTGGATTGTTAGCTGAATGGTACTATTTGTTTCTTACCAAAAATTAATGGGAAAACATTTTTCATAAGAATGTTATTGCAGATTATTTAAAGGTTCCTCAAAAAAACATCCAAGCTTGAGTTCAGAAAAGTGGCCATAACTTGATTTCCGTACGGTAAACTTTGTTTAAATTTTGCATACAGGTGTACTTTAAGGTAAATATCTGACCTATGATGTCAATTTTTTAGTTCCTTATAGTGCCCAATAGGGTGGTAATACCTTAATGTAATTCTTATAACAACTAAACAATCAGAATCAGACTATCATATCAAATTAAAAAACATGGAATTACTTTAGTCTTTAAAATACCTTCCAAGCCTAATATTTTGTAGAATATCTATAAACTTTTTGTCGGACTGTCTTTTTACATCTGTCAATTCTAGTTTGAGCTGTATAACTTTACTCCATGATTTTGACTGAAAAATAAAGAAATAAATAAACTGTTAACTCACATAATGAAACCCCTAACTCACAAAATGAAACCCCTATGTTGCAATTTCACTCTGATGATACTTTATAATACACTTTTCAGCTGAGTGGAACAATACTGGGCAGGAACCAGTTTCCGGACAGAATTCAAGTTTTTTTAATTGTCTATTTTTTAATAATAAACTTACAATAATAAAACTAACATACCAAAAACCTGAGCTCTAACTACGTCCGATAACAAAATTAATACTGCCTGGTGTCTTAAGCAATGTACAAACTGAAGGGTTAAATTAGGTCTTCAAAAGTGTAAATTGTTCACTCTTGCAGAACCAGTTTCCGGACTTATATAAGCTGCTATTCATATCTGTTTTTTACTAATAATTAGTCTAATATAACAAACAAGAACCGGTTGAACCGGGTGATGCTCCCCGAGAAGGTTCTGGACACAGGAAAGTATAAAAAAAATGAACAAAGGGCAATAACTCCAAAATTAGACCAGGCTTTGTTTAGGTTCTTGAAGCGTTGCAGTTCTATCCAATTACATCTAGCTACCTACAAAGTTTCATGTTGATATCTCTAATAGTTTTAAAGTAATGTCCAGGACAAAAGTCAAAAAGTAAAAATAAACAAAGGGCAATTACTTCAAAATAAGGCAAGGCAGAGTAATGATTCTTAAGCACTGCACTTCCACCCAATGAGACCTATCTATCTACAAAGTTTCATGTTAATATCTCTTATAATTTTAGAGTAATGTCCCAGACAAAGTTCAAAGTGTCAAAATGAACAAAGGGCAATAACTCCAAAAGTAGGCAAGACAGTGTTACAGTTCTTGTGCACTGCAAACTTACTCAATGAGGTCTATCTACCTACAAAGTTTCATGTTGATATCTCTTATACATTAAGAGTTATGTCCCGGACAAAGTTCAAAGTGTAAAAATAAACAAAGGGGGATAATTCAAAAATTAGGCAAGGCAGAGTTAAGGTTCTTGTTCACTGCACACCTACTCAATGAGATCTATCTACCTACAAAGTTTCATGTTGATACCTCTTATACTTTTAGAGTTATGTCCCGGACAAAGTTCAAAGTGTAAAATAAACAAAGGGGGATAATTCAAAAATTAGACAAGGCAGAGTTACGGTTCTTGTGCACTGCACACCTACTCAATGAGATCTATCTACCTACAAAGTTTCATGTTGATATCTCTTATACATTAAGAGTTATGTCCCGGACAAATTTCAAAGTGTAAAATAAACAAAGGGGGGTAATTCAAAAATTAGGCAAGGCAGAGTTACGGTTCTTGTGCACTGCACACCTACTCAATGAGATCTATCTAACTACAAAGTTTCATGTTGATACCTCTTATACTTTTAGAGTTATGTCCCGGACAAAGTTCAAAGTGTAAAATAAACAAAGGGGGATAATTACAAAATTAGGCAAGGCAGAGTTACGGTTCTTGTGCACTGCACTTCTACTCAATGAGATCTATCTACCTACAATGTTTCATGTTAATACCTCTTATACTTTTAGAGTTATGTCCCGGACAAATTTCAAAGTGTAAAATAAACAAAGGGGGGTAATTCAAAAATTAGGCAAGGCAGAGTTACGGTTCTTGTGCACTGCACTTCTACTCAATGAGATCTATCTACCTACAAAGTTTCATGTTGATACCTCTTATACTTTTAGAGTTATGTCCCGGACAAAGTTCAAAGTGTAACATAAACAAAGGGGAATAATTCAAAAATTAGGCAAGGCAGAGTTACGGTTCTTGTGCACTGCACTTCTACTCAATGAGATCTATCTACCTACAAAGTTTCATGTTGATACCTCTTATACTTTTAGAGTTATGTCCCGGACAAAGTTCAAAGTGTAAAAATAAACAAAGGGGAATAATTCAAAAATTAGGCAAGGCAGAGTTACGGTTCTTGTGCACTGCACACCTACTCAATGAGATCTATCTACCTACAAAGTTTCATGTTGATACCTCTTGTTGTTTCAAAGTTATGTCCCGGACAAGAAAAGGGGACGGACGGACGGACGGACGTACCAACTTTTGATATTTAAGAGGTAAATCAGCTCATAAACTACACCTGGACCAAAGTCCATAAGCAAAATCAGCTCATAAAATCAAAAAAATAGCTCTTAATTTGAATTTTATGAGCTTTTGTTCTTTATTTAACTACGGAATGAAGCTCATAAATATCAAATGTTTGCTCGGACGGGACGGAGACGGACAAGGCGCCGACTATATGCTCCCCCGAAATTTTTTCGGGGAGCATAAAAATGTCTTCTCACATATGAGCTTTCTTATATAATTAAGCTGATTTACTGAAAAATGTTTATGATAGGAAAAATAACGATCAGTATCACGTGATGGGTCTCGGAATGACTGAAAAGTGAAACGGATATTTTTGTGTGTACGGCAGCAACGAAGTGCGAAAGTGGAGTAAACCTAGCTAAACACCGTTTTCTGATACTTTTCGTGTTAATGCAGTCACAATACCAAATATCAAGAGGCTGTGATATGTAGTTGCTGAGAAAACTGTTACGGAAATTTCCTTCCATTTACAATTAATGCCGAAAATTTAACTAAGTCAGCAAACGGAAAGTGGATGAGCCACATACCTGAAATCATATCCCATGGTATGTGATTACTTGTTAATGCTGTATACCAAATATCAATAGGCTGTGATAAGTAGTCAGCATGCCCACTTAATTTCAAATGTAGGGGTACATGTACCCCCTCTCATTGAAAATTGGGGGTACATTTCAAAATCTGGGGGTACACATAAGTTTAAACATGTTTTTGTTTGTTAGAACATTTTGGTCAACATGATATTAATGAACAGTTGTTTCACTTAGTATTACTACCCATTAACACAGACACGAACTCATCACTTGAAGTAGCAATATAACAGCCATTACAATCACTGGTATTTTGTTTAGTCCATACGATTATTACCCATAACCAAAATTTTGTATATCAGAAATTATGTACATGTACATTTATTTTAAAACCTCACTTGTTTATATTTTCATTTCATATGACATACGTAAAGCTCACAATTGAAGGTAATGTTAAAAATCAAGTGACTAACTTTTTGCTGATCATTGGAGAACACAAAATACTTTTTGGCAGTTGTAAATATCCAAAACTTTTTTTCTTAAGACAGTACATGTGACGTCAAGACATGACTAAAATATTTACAAATCAGACTGAGATGACTTTGAAAGCAGACATGCAATTGTGACCGGGTTTAGACTGTTCCTAACAATTGGTAGATGGCAACGACATTTAGTTGATATGCATATTAGGCTATCCCAAACATTCATTCTGATGATTTTACTTTGCGATTGCATGTACCCCCTGCTTACAATTTTTATGTGTGCATCTAGAATTTTGTGTGTGAATCACGCACTGTAGTGTGTGAATCATGCACTGTAGTATGTGAATCAAGCACTGTAGTGCGTGAATGGGGATGCTGGTAGTTGCTGAGAAAATTGTTACGAAAAATTCCTACCATTGACCATTATTATGAATTAAACTAAGTCAGTAAACATGAAGTGGATGAGCGACAGACCTGAAATCGAATCCCATGGTATGGAACAACGTGTTAATGCTGTATACTAAATATCATGAGGCTCTGATAAGTAGCCTTACGAAAAATGGCCCAACCAATTTGCCTGCCTGCCTGGAATCAAGTCTCAATACATGATGGTAAGCAGTATTTTTTTTCATAAATGTAAATTTTTTTCGAAAACCAGTATTATAGTTGTAACAGATATCCCATTAATGTTTAAATATTAAAATATTTTTTGATAGTGTTTACTCAGGGGTATCATGTTGGGGGCAGGATCTAACCCCAAGCATCTGTGGTTTATCATATTAGAACACCCCTTTCTACAAAAACTTCTTTCTGTTCACATGAGTCGCTCTATACACAGGTTTAATTGTAAAATTAAATATTGTAAAATGTTATAAATAAAAAAACATCAACAAACAGCAGGGATCTCAGGAAGGTCAGAATTTCACGTGGCAGACTGTTTGGCCAAAATTTTCATGAGTCAAATCAGTTTTTTCTTGTGTTATTTTTCTACATAAATCATTTTCATGTTTCACAAATTACTGTTTGGGAAGTCATTTTGAGAAGATTTTCAAGTTGAATTGATAATATTGTGAGGTTAGGTAATTTTTAAATTACGTAAGCTTCTTGCTTAGTTAACAATATGATAAAGACTAGAACTATCACTAAATGTGATTAATACTCCCACAAGACTGCTTCAGAAATGAGGATGTTACTTAGTAACAGAATACCTTGTAAAAGAATTGAAATATAGAGTTATGGTTGTGGGCAATTAAAGATAGTTGTGGTTCTTGTATGTTGCATTTCCTTTCAATGTGGTTGGCCATTGATGAAGTTTTATTGAATTACTCTGTAATAAGTCCAGAAAGACAAGGAAAAGAAACAAAGGGCAATAACTCTATAAATACTGAAGATGGAGTTATAGTTCTTGTGCACTGCACTTCCTCTTATTGTGCTTGACCATTGTATGAAGTTGTATTGAATTTCAAACAGTAGTTTTCAAATTATGCTCTGGACAAGGAAAAGTAACAAAAGGCAATAACTCTGTAATTAGTCAAGATGGAGTTATGGTTCTTGTGCACTGCACTTTCTCTCAATGTGCTTGGCCATTGTATGAAGTTATATTGAATTCCAACTATTAGTCTTCAAGTTATGCTCCAGACAAAAAAAGCAATGGAAAAGTAACAAAGGGCAATAACTCTGTAATTAGTCAAGATGGAGTTATAGTGAACTGCACTTCCCCTTATTGTGCTTGACCATTGTATGAAGTTGTTTTGAATTCCAACCAGTAGTTTTCAAGTCATGCTCTGGACAAGGAAAAGTAACAAAGGGCAGTAACTCTGTAATAAGTCAAGATGGAGTTATGGTTCTTGTGCACTGCACTTCCTCTCAATGTGCTTGACCA